CCAATTTTACTGAACTATTTTTATTTATTGAATGTTTTTATTTATACATATTTTATCCATATACCGTATTTATCTATTTTATTTATATTAATTAATTTATTTATCTTAGTTTTTATGGTTTTTAACGTTCTCAAAATACGTGAATCCGATGCAGAAATGACCTCTGGGAACTGAACCAAAGATCAACCTGGTATACGGATATTGCAGGTTAACGTGGGCAGAGCCCGCCGAGCGCACGATCTTGTCCACATAAAAGCCTGCAAGCTAGAAACAGATTTGCTCATCGTCCCGGAACCAAACAAAAAGATAACTTCATCCGGTGGTTGGGTTCAGGATAACGGGAAAAACGTGGCGGTGCTCTTTAGAAATAGGGGTTTGGGGGTGCGAAGTATTGTTAGGGGAGGAAATCATATCCTCATCAAATTGAGGGATTTCAGCCTCCTGGTATGCTACGTGTCCCCAAATATCCCTATGATAAGATACAAAGAAATTGTAGACGAAATAATGAGCGCCGCCACGAATGAAAAAGAAGTGCTGATCGCCGGAGACATCAACGCGAAATCAAGGTTGTGGGGTTCCCCCATAAACCCCCAGGCTGGCCTCCAAGTATTAAACAATAACAAACCAACTTTCGTAAGAGGGGCCAGCCAAACACACATCGATATTACATTCGCGAGTGAAGGGCTATCCAGGAGAGTGCACGAATGGGATGTCCTTGACGATCAGTTATTCACCTACAATACCACCGGTATATAAAATATGAAATAAAGATGAAAGGAGGAATAAGGCGGCCGATAGAACACACGGAAATTTATTTCAACAAAAACACGTACCTGTCGGAGGTCAGAAAGATTAATGAAAAGGAGATTTCTGACCTTGGCCAACTGAGAAGAGCACTAGAAAGCGCAGTAAAGTTGGCCACCGTGAAGAAAAAGAATAATAAAAAAGCCCCCTATTAGTGGACGGATGAGATAGAAGGTCTACGTGAGAGATGCCTCAGAGTTCGAAGGAATTATACGAGAAGCCAGGGCAGCCTCGAGCTCAAAGAAATTTATAAAGATCTAAAGAAAACGTTAAACAAAAAAATAAAACAAGAGAAAAAAGAAAAGTGGCAGACCCTGATAAAAGCTTTGGACGAAGATATATGGGGCGATGCGTACAAGATAACCATGAAGACGCTTAAGATAATCGCCCCATATAGACTTGACGTAGACCAGCGGATGGAATCAGCCAAACTCCTCTTCCCTAACAAGGATCCCCAAAATTTTATAAAAATATTTCCAACAATGGTAGAGGAGTTCACGGAAGAGGAACTAAAAACCGCTGGTCAAGAGATAAAGACAGGGAAAGCTCCCGGCCCTGACCACCAGAGGCAATAAAAGTACTTCTTCTTCTTTGGGTGCCGTCTTCAATGAAGGTTGGCGATAACCTCAGCAAAATCATTTCTGAGTACTAGCAACGGAGAAACCAGGCTTGACCAGAAAAATATACAACGACCTACTGCAGAAGCAAGAGTTTCCCAGAGACTTAAAGGAAGCGAACTTGGTCCTACTGCTAAAGCCTGGGAAACCCCCCGATTCAGCGGCCTCTTATCGGCCAATATGCCTTCTGGACTGCCTTGGTAAGTTCTATGAAAGACTTATCAAGAGGCGGCTGGAACGCGTGTTGGAAGATGAGAGAATGCTATCAAACCAACAATACGGATTCCGAAAAGTAAGATCGACAGTCGATGCCGCAAACTGGATAAGGGACGCGGCCAAGACAAGCAAGAAAAGATGGGTGGTCCTTATTCTGCTGGACATAAGAAATGCTTTTAATTCAGCAAACTGGGGCCTCATAGTAGACCGAGTCGTCGAATCTGGGGCTCCAGAGTATATGTCCAACATAATAAAGGACTACTTATCGGAAAGATCCGTATGTATATCCAAGAAGAAAAAGAAAGAAATGACCGCGGGAGTACCCCAAAGGTCAGTCCTGGGACCCTTACTTTGGAACATACTATACAACGGGGTACTAGAAATACACAAAAAGAGAGGAGTGAGAGCGATAGCATACGCGGACGATTTAGCTTTACTGGTCGAAGACGATACGAATTGGGGAATAAAAGATAAGGTAAATAATGCGATAAGAACGACCGCGGCGTGGATAGAGAAGAACGACCTAAAACTAGCAGTAGAAAAGTCAGAAGCAATAATCTTGAGGGGACCACGAAAAAGAATCGATATAATCTTAGCATATCAAGACTCCGAAATAAGACCCCAAAGGACAGTCAGGTCCTTAGGTATAACCTTCGATGACAGACTCTCTTTCGGACAGCGTGTACAAGAAGCATGTCGGAAGGCGGAAGAAAGGACCTCAACACTTAACAAGTTAATGCCCAACATCGGGGGACCCGGATCCCAAAAGAGGACAGTATTGCTTCAATCAATACTGTCCATAATACTATACGGGCCCCAGTGTGGCACGAGGTCCTTCGGATGAAAAAGTACAAAGACATGCTTATTAGGGCTCAGAGGAAACCCCTGATCAGGGTGTGCAGTGCGTACAGGACTGTATCAACCATTGCTTTACAGGTGGCGGCCGGTTCTGTACCGGTGCATATCTTGGCCAGGGAGAGAGCCAGAATGTACCAAAGGGGCAACGGAGCGATAGGTTCAGGGCCACAGGAAAGAGCTACAAGTCTAGAGACGTGGCAGAGGGAATGGGCAGCCGAAGTCGGGAAGGTTGACTGGACGAGATCCCTGATCCCGGCCGCAGTGAGGTGGTACGGGTGTCGACATCGGCGCGTCAACTATTACTTCACACAGTTTTTGACAGGGCATGGATCGTTCAGGAAATACACCCATCGTATAGGAAAAACCGAGAACGATCTATGTCCTGAGTGCGGAGTGGTGGATGACGCGCAGCATGTCGTGTTCGTATGCCCCGCATATCACGTTGGACGCACCGAACTGCAGCTGGGCCTGGGATCCCCCTAGGCGAGCCTCGCGAGCTAATTGATAAAGCTATCGACAGCAAGCATGACTTCGACCTGATCATTGCTTTTGTCACACAGACAATAAAGCATAAAGAAGAAAAAGAGAGGCGACTGCAGACAGGATAACCGTATATTTATCTTTTAACGTGTCTTGTGTCGTAAAAGGCAGTCAGGGGGGGGGGGAGGACCATATACACCCAAACCACACTGACTGTCTAATTTTAACTTATCCTATTTTGTTTTTACACGGTTTTACTTATTTATTTATTTTATCATAGTTTTATATATTTATTTACTTTATCGTTGTTTTATTCTTGATCTGATTTTATTTATACGTTATTGTTTGCTGAACAATTTCACTTTCAATTTCCTGTTAATGTTCTCTATCTTTTCCTTCTTCTTTCTTTGGCTTCTTTTCTATCTTTCATTTCATCCTTCCTCCTCTTTCTCTATTTCTTTTTTAATTTCTTTCTCTATTACTTTAAACTATGTCATGTTTCGTCTGGAGACAGTCAGCAGGGAAGGACCTTTTACATCCGACCTACACAGACTGCCCCATCTAAATGTTAGAATGAATAGATGGATGAGTAGGTGTGTCTAGATGAAAGTAAGGAATGACTGGAGTTGAATGAGACTAAGTATAGAATAAGGGGTGGATGAGAAAGAGTGAATAGATAAAGGTATGAACGACTGGAGTTATTCGTAACTGCCGACTGACATCTTAGGGTTGTTTCCATCATGGGTTGGGAAGCGTCCCGACCGCCCTCTTTCCCGTCTTCGGCCACTTCGCTGTGCGGGGAAGGCGTCCGTGAAGCTGACCAACCCATGGAATTCACGCCGGGGGTGTTAGGGGGAGCTATGAGTAAGGTCGACAGTAAGTATATCTGAGGGTGACATAGAAATATTTTTCAGAAGATCAATGAAATGAAAAGAGTTTTTGACAAAAGACGAAGCTTTTTCGACCAATGGTTGTAAGGATAAAGCGAGATGTTTTGCCAATTTCTGAGTGGGGCAATTGTATGCACTGACGATGGGCCGTAGAGGAACATTGGGCTTATGGATTTTTGGAAGGCCGTATATCTTTGGGATTCGAGATGACTTTTCTCTGGGTATAAGAGATTTTTTGATGCCTGGAGGTTGAGTAGAATTATTTATAATGGATTTGGTAGTTTTTTCTAGATATGTGGTGCGATCGTTTGGGACGCGTTTGTATTTTGTGGAATTGAGAAGTTTGGACATTTTCTCGAACTAATTAGAAGAGTTGAGAATGACGGTGCCATTGCCTTTGTCGGCCGGAAGGATGACAATATCAGGGTTGTTATAAAGTTCTTTGAGGGCACGTCTTTCTGAAAGACTGATATTTGACGGTGGGGGATTTGGAAGTATGGAGAATTCTGGCAACATCTTGTCTGGCAATTCCAGCTTGGTCGGAAGGAGAAGAGAAATAGCTTCTTCAGCTTGACAAATAATTTTCTCTGTTGGTATGGAAAGATGAGTGACAGAAAAATTGAAGCCTTTTGATAGAGCTTTGGTAGCAGAATCGGATATCTAAATATCTGAGAAATTGCGGACAATAGTAGAGGGTTGTTGATTCGAAATGGGCTGTGTCAATATATATACATATATGTATAAGTATACATATATATATATATATATATATAATATATATATATATATATATATATATATATATATATATATATATATATATATATATATATATATAATATATATATATATATATATACTGTTTTTATTTTTTTCACCATATTTCAGAAAGTTTTTTAAAACGATTTTCAGATTGAAAAAAAAAAATGGAAAAAAATGTAATTATTGTTATATAAGGAAATAATTACAGAACCATTCAGAACCAACTTGACCAATATGAAAAAGGGTAGACAACATGTCAAACTAGAAACAGTTTTTTCTTTTTTAGAGATATTTATAGTTAAGCATTTGTTGTAATAATTATTATAGACTTCCTTAAAAAAATGTTTTATTAAAATACAAAATATAAATATTTGCCACAGTTACTAATTCTAATTTCACAAGAACAATATTAGATATTTTAATTTGCTGGTATATTGAGGTATTTACTAATTGTTATTTAACCAATAAATGAATATCATTATCTTGATATTAATAACTATTTTAATACCAATATTTTTGTTCTATAATTTCTTATTTCCCTCTTTGTTTTACTACACTTCTGATGTCTATATTTAAAGTTTATTACTTTTTTTAATGTGACATACTTATATTATTCCAAAAATCAATCATAAATTATAATATAAAATATTGTTCGTATGCATAGGCTTAAAAATAAGAACTACAAACTAATATCAAAAGTTTTAAGGTCTCAGACCTACTCCAGGAGACTTCCTAAATATTGTAAAATGATCTAAATATTGATGTATAGTATCAATTGGTGAATAAACTTCTTGCATTCTATTTTGTAAATAGTTTGGGGGATTGGTAGGTGCTGATAAACCTAAAAATCCTTGTAAAAATTCTTTAATCAAATCCCAACATAAAGCAGGTACTACACAAGGTCTGTATTCTACCTCCACTAAAATTCCTTTGAAATTACTGCTTACTGTTACACTTCCCAATTTAACACAAAAATCTCCTATTTCATACCTAAAACAAGCTTAGATAAGTACATGAACAATGGAAATACATGTCATCATAAAAGTTCATTGCCGAATTTGTATATATATATATATACACAGGGTGATTGATTAGTGTGGGGAAGCTCAGTAGATGTGTTATAGTAAAAATTACTAAAAAAAGTTATTAACAAAAATTGTAGGCAGCTTTAAACTCCACATTTTAAAATTAGTTACAATCTTACAGGGTGTTCCATAAGATGGTGGCATACCAAACTTATGTATTTTTAAATGAAACACCCTGTCATCACAACAATGTACATCACAACAATGTAAAGTTTAATTATGTTATACCGGGTATCTAAAAAGTTATAACCAATATTACCTGAAAATCGTATCAAGTTTAACTCCCTGTGCAATTAAAAAGGAGTATAGGAACATTGATCTATTGCAACCATAGTTTTTAAATAATTGTTAAAAATTATAAAACATATTCGTTTCCATAATATTCGTTAAATCAAATACAGGGTAAGTCAAAATGCAAATACATTATTTTCTTGGTAATTTTAAATAGAACACCCTGTATTTTATATCACTATCAAAAAGTAATAATATCGTACTTCAAATTTTATAAAGTACTCCCTATACCTAAAGTTATCAGTTTTCTAGATATTATTGTTTTTCATCAAAGTATTAATTTGGTAGATATTTTAACGTTTACCTACTCACAATATAATTATTGTGAGTTGGTTATGATTGATTTGTCAAAAACTGACAGTTTGACATTATTGTTTAATAATTTAGTAACGAAATAACGACACAGAAAAGAAAACAATTTATTTAAAATAAAATTTATAAAAAATAACCGACGGAAAATAAAATATATATATATATATATATATATATATATATATATATATATATATATATATATATATATATATATATATATATATAACAACACATAGAAAAATTAAAAACAACAGTAAGTTTAACTTATCTTACTTAAGTAAGGTGTTCAAAATGACCTCCCAAAACATCTATGCATGCTTGAAAACGGTCATTGAAATAGTTGGCTACATTACTAAGCATTTGTAAAGAAATATTTTGAAATGCAATTCGGAATCTATTTTTCATATCATCCCTTGTTGTTGGGGGTATTTTATATACTTCGTTCTTAACGCAACCCCAAAAAAATGAGTCCATTTTATTGAATTCTGGTGACCTTGGGGGCCACCTTACCGATCTATCCCTTCCGATCCATCTTTCCCCAAACTGATTATTAAGTTCACCACGTACTAATTCGTTGTGGTGTGCAGGAGCACCGTCATGTAGAAACCACATTTTTTCACGTATATTAAGTGGAACCTCTTCTAATAATATCGGTAACTGATTTACGATAAAATCTAAATAAATCTCACCATTTAAATTATCTTCAAAAAAATATGGTCCTACTACATGGTTACCGACGATACCTCCCCACACATTTAGAGACCATCTTGTTTGACTATGTGTTACTATGTGGTATGGATTACTTGTTGAGTAGTAGTGAAAGTTGTGCCTATTAAAAGAACTGTTTCGATGGAATGTAGCTTCATCACCAAATAGGACATAATCAAAAAAATCTCTCTGCTCATTAATTTTTTCTAAGGCCCATTCACAAAATACTATTCGTTTCTGAAAATCATCATTAATTAATTCTTGGAGCTTTTGAATATGATAAGGGTGCATCTTGTTTTTAGATAGAATGTTTTGAACAGAGTAGTAACTAAGTTCTTGTTCATTGGAAATAGTCCTTATGCTTGTGTGTGGGTTTTCTGTAACGGACATCAACACACTCATTTCGTTTTCCCCTGTCACACTAGTTTTTGTTCGTTCATGTTTTTCATAATTCACTGAACCAGTGCGGTTAAATCGATCTTTTAATTTTTCAAATGTATCTTGTCTAGGTTGTCGCCTATCTGGAAACCGTTCTTGATAAATTCTAGCTGATAGTAATGAATTTTTATTGCATTCCCCCAATATCCAGATCATATCTACCATTTCATCAGTAGTAAAATTCATTATTGCTAATTTAAATTGAATCAATTACTGAATTACTAAATAATGATTGTTGCTAATTTACAGTGTACCCCAATACTAAATTAATAAATATTAATGTCAAACTGTCAGTTTCTGACAAATCAATCATGGCCAACTCACAATAATTATTGGCAAACGTTAAAATATCTACCAAATTAATACTTTGATGGAAAAATAAAAATATCTTTAAAACTAATAACTTTAGGTATAGGGAGTACTTCATAAAATATGAAGTACGATATTAGTTCTTTTCGATAGTGATATAAAATACAGGGTGTTCTATTTAAAATTACCAAGAAAATAATGTACTTGCATTTTGACTTACCCTGTATTTGATTTAACGAATATTACGAAAATGAATATGTTTTATAGTTTTTAAGAATTATTAAAAAACTATGGTTGCAATAGATCAATGTTCCTACAATCCTTTTTAATTATACAGAGAGTTAAACTTAATATGATTTTCAGGTAATATTGGTTATAACTTTTTAAATACCCGGTATAACATAATAAAACTTTACATTGTTGTAATGTGGAAGTAAAGCAGATTTCAAATTTAAAATAAAATACATTGTGTTTTATTTAAAAAAACATGGAACACCCTGTAGGATTGTAACTAATTTTAAAATATGGAGTTTAAAGCTGCCTACAATTTTTGTTAATAACTTTTTTTTGTAATTTTTACTATAACAGATCTACTGAGCTTCCTCACACTAATCAATCACCCTGTATATATATATATATATATATATATATATATATATATATATATATAAGGATTCAGATGGCACAAAATCGGACTAAGTGGAAAAGCATGCAAGAGACCTATGTTCAGCAGTGGAGGTTAGAGGCTAGTTGATGATGATGATGATTGATGATGGTGAACATTATGTGGACTGATAGTAGGGAGACAAAACTGCACAATAAGTCTCTCAAAGTGGTTGTTATAGACAGTTTTATTTTGGAGAAATATACTAAAATAGACATGAGGTCTGTAATAGTCTGACATAATAGAACTAATAAGTTGCTTGAAAAATATTATTAATTTATATTAGTAAAGATAAGGGTATGAACCCAAATACTATCGGAAAAATGGAGTCTGATAAGGATGATTGTGACAGCGAGAGCAAAAAACCAAGTTTACTTGTTGCAATAGTATGACAAAAAGCACAATAATATGTGTAAAGAATGTACAGAGACACCCCATGTGTCAAAAGACAGGCTACAGCACCCACCAAAAGAAATTATCAGTAATCCACTTAAACATGCAATCAATTAGTATTGATGCCATTAATTTTATCCTAAAAGATCATGATGAATGCTTTGCTCTTTGTTTAACTGAACACTGGAAAATCTAAGAACTACTGAGCCAATACAATGTAAAGAATTTTAAACTGATCTACATATTTATATTGTAGAAGCAGTTGATTAAAATGGCTTGGCAATTGGTAAGAGGTTAAGGGTAAAGGGTAAATCGAGGTAATTTCTGTTTAGAGGGTGACCCCCAGGTGCATTCTAACGAAATAAATCAGTTTATGGCAACAGTAGCGCCAGAAGCTGTAAAGAAAATAAAGCATGTAAAAAAATTTCAAATTATTGAAGCAAAAAATAATCATTGCATGTTTCTAACTCCTATTTCAGAGAAAGAAATAAGCCACTTAATAAATAACTTAAAAAACAAGAATAGCTCTGGTTATGATGAAAGATCAACCAACTTAAACCAATTAAATATGTTTTATCAGATATTTATCCTCCTCTTTCTTTTATAGTTAATGCCTCTTTCAGGCAAGGTAAATTTCCTCAAAGTTTAACACTGGTAATTGTTAAGCCACTACATAAAAAGGGTGATGTTACTAAGATGTAGAACTATAGACCCATAACTCTATCATTCTCAAAAATATTCGAAAAAGCAATATATTCTAGACTACAAAACTTTTTTACTACAAATAACTTATTTACTAGTTTGCAGCATGGTTTTCTTGCAGAGAGATCTGTTGAGACAGCTAATTATGATTTTATATTAAAATTTTTAGAAACACTAGAGACAAAGATGAAAACACTAGGTGCTTTTGTCAACCTATCTAAGATTTTCGATAGTCTAGATCATGTTATCTTATTACAAAAATTACATTGTTATGGAATACAGGGACTGCATTAAAATGGATAAAATCATTTCTCACAGATAGGCCACAAAAAGTATGCTTGGGGAAAAATGGATGTAAGATTTACTCTGAACTGGTCAATTTAAAATTAGGTATACCACAGGGGAGCGTCTTGGGGCCTTTTCTGTTTTTGGTCTACATAAATATCCTTCAAAATGTGGTAGTTAGTAGTTCCTCAAACCTTGTACATTTCGCTGATGACTCAAATGGGCTTTTCTGGGAAAAAATATTAGAAACACTCCTCACAGTGGCAGAGCATTCAGTAGATAGCTCAACTGTCTTTACAGTCCAAAAAAGACAGACCCAGTGATCTTAGGACTAAAGGCAGGAGAATACTGTAGAGGCTGATTCAAATTACTCAATATAATCACTTTCTTAGCCATCTATATATTTGAATGTATTATGTTTCTTTTTAAAGATTTTAAGTACTTTGTTTTATCACCTGCTTCCCAATCATAAATATAATATAAGAAGCCTTAATTTGAATTTCCCACTTCATAGATTGTTTATAACAGAGGGAAGTCCTTTGTATGCATGTGTTAAATTTTACAATAGTCTATCATCTGACATTCAACAGGAAACACACTATAGATAAAAGAAAGGTTTTTTAACACCTAGTTAACATTGAGCCCTATACTGTTGCAGAGTGTCTGGCCTATCCTTCTCTCTGATCAGCATATTTAATTTGTAATGTTAATATATTTTAATCTGTGATGTCAATATACATATTTTTTAATCTGTGGTTAATAATGTAACATTATTTGCTCAATTATGTTAAAAAATTTATGCAAATGAAAATTTACTCTACTCTACTTACCTTGGCCCCTTTGACTCTGCCTTGGTTTGTTTTTTGGAAGTATAAAAATGGGACATTTTCATCATTAGTAAATCAAACAATCCATCAGTGGCTAATGGAATTGTTTTGGTACCAGTTTCAAGCAAAGAAAACACAGTAGCAGGTTGTTCTGAATTATGTAGAACATGAACTGTCCTAGGGTGTCCTAACTGTTGTACAGAAGTGTATGTTTCACAGTCTACTAAAAATTGACCTTGCTGAGTAGCCCCTAAAGCTAAAATTCGTTTAGATAAAAGCTCAATAGTTTGAGGTCCTGTTTTGTTATCAATTGGAAATTGACTTAAAATTGTTACTCCCATCCTACTTATTCTCTATTTTCGGCTTTTATTTATTTTCTGACTTGTTCATTGTATTTAGGGTTATGTCGGTTATGTCTGTCAAATATATGACAGATCTTCTTCTTCTTTCTTTTTCTGTTGTCTCGCATACTTGTTCATCTGCCAGTAGTGGTAACTGTATGCCCCGATTTAGGCAAACAGTTACCACCTTATTTTTTGCTAATTGCTACTATTTATGTAGTACTTATATTTATTGATTATTGAAGCCAGATTGGACACAGAATAATAAACAATCAGAATGCCTCTCTCCATGGAAAATTAAGTACGCGCATCTCGTTCGCGCAGATATGTTTTAGAGGGAACCAGCTGTTCAGTGACATTTTATCTGGTATGCATAGACAAATTCTTCTTCTTCTTCAGATGCAAATCCACTAATGGATGTTAGCGATCACATTTTCCATTAACTCTCTATTTCTTGCAATATGTATCAGAGATTGTATGTCGTTAATCCCTGTCCATTGCCTTATGTTTCGGAGCCAGGACATTTTCTTGCGTCCCATTCCTCTCTTGCCTTCAATTTTACCCTCGATTATAAGTTGGAGGAACTGGTATTTTTCATTTCGCATGATGTGACCTAGATACGCCGTTTTCCTTTTCTTGATGGTTTCGAAAAGTTGGCGTTCTTGGTTTATTCTTTTAAGGACATCTATATTTGTGATTTTCGCTGTCCATGGTATTTTTAGGATATGGCGATAAAGCCACATTTCGAAAGCTTCCAATCTGTTTATAGACAAATTAAGCAGGTTTAATTTATTTATGACAACTACAGACATAATATGCACTATTTTATTGACACTTTTAGTTGAAGAATCGATAAAACTATATCAAATGTATTAATCTCTAAAAATTTAAATTACAGTTCTGTCATAGCTTGTCACAAATGTCTCAATTCGAGTCTATGTTTCCTTCTAAAACATGGCGATCGCGTGCTGAAAAACTTCAAAGGTGGCATCTGAGAGTGGGCATTCTGATTGTTTATTATTCTGTGGCTTGGATGAAAATGAAAAATCTATGTCAGAGATATACACACCATAATCAGTTTGTATTTCCTGATTAATTTCGCATTTTGATGCAACTGAGAAGAGAGTGCGTGGCCCTTCGCCGGCCCTTGACAAGGGCGAGAATACGTCGGAGCGCGAAAGAGGTGGAATGTGTCGATACGTCTTACCGTGCGAAGAAGAAGGAGTTGAATTGGAGGATCCGAGCCGAGAAGAAGAGACACTGGAGGGTACTGTGTGATAAGCTGGACGAGGACATCTAGGGTGTAGGGTATAATATCGCAATGAAGCATTTCGACGCCTGTGCTCCGTATGGTATGCCATTGGACCAGAAGCTGGACATAGTCAGCGAACTGTTTCCACAAGGACGGTGGCATGGTGTGCGGAGAGACGTCGAGGCTGAGTGTGGGATTCCGTTTATTTTGGATGAATTGGCTGTGGCGGTGAGTTCCCTTAAAGGCGGAGCCTTATGTATCCAATTTCCGACATCCGACATACAAAAATCGTATAGTTTCGTAGTTGCTATTTGGAAGCTAGTCACATGGATGCTATTGTCGGATACGAAAATCCGTATAAACTGTTAACTGTCAATTTTTTGTTTATTGTTTGGATGTTTGGTGGTTTGGCTGGTAATTGCTGTTTTACCACTTTTGCTTAGTAATAAAACAGCAGAAGGGATTATTTCCGCATGGTATATAATCCCTTCTCCTGCTTTCAATTACTCAGTTTATTATGGATAACGAAGAAGAAACTATATGTAACTTATGAAATATGTAATTACGCATTCTAAGGTAATTGCAAATATTTATCAACATCATTTAACTTCATTTCCTACAAGAGTGCAATATATTATTAAAAGCCCCTTGTGACATTTTTTACTGAAATATTTAACTAACCCAATATTTTCTTTGTCGAATTGTATGTTTTGTTTTTTTTTGCGAATTAAAAAGAAGCAGACATAATAATAGCGTTTTATTAACTTTACGAACATAGCTTCTTCGATTAATTCATGTTTCAATAAATTAAATGTACAGATGTTAAACTATTGGAATACAATTAGGTTACAAAACATCCCTTTTGTCGGAAAAAGGTAAAATAATTTTATCTTTATCCGATGTCGGAAGCGTAGTTAAAAATTTCGGATGAAATTCGGCGCGAAAATATTCTGATTCGATTCTGACCAATGAGAATACTTTCGGATCATCGTGTCGTCGGAAATCGGATGCATGGGACTCCGCCTTAAGTCTGGTATGGTTCCCGGTCTAGATGGTGTCCCACAGATGTGTCCTCATGCCGCCGGAGCACATCGGTCACCGCATCCACTGTACTTTTACCCTTGCAGAAACCATATTGTATCGGAAACAGGCCTCCAGACATCACAATCACCTCCTCGATACGCGAACGTAGCATTCTCTCATACAGCTTTCCGATACAAGGAAGAAGGCAAATAGGACGATATTTTCCTGCCTTGAAATTAGGCAGGAGCTCGAGCCTCGAGATTTTCCAGGGATCCGGAAAATATTACGCGGCAAGAAGAGCATTCATGTGATCCATTGGGGTTGATCATCGATTGGTCATCCTAATTCTCTTTGACGTCTGAAATGCTTTTATTACATTGCAGTGGGGTCACGTAATAAGCTCTTTGGAAGCAAGGAACTGTCCTGGGTATCTGAGGAATGTGGTCGGTGATTATCTTTCCGAGAGGAAGATTGTGGTGGAAAATGGTGTAATGGTGTATGTAACGGCTGGGGTCCTGCAGGGCTCCGTTCTGGGTCCGACACTGTGGAACCTGTCGGGGGTCTTAAATTGCGAATATGGGGAGGGTGTGACCACCTTTGCATTCGTGGACGCCTTTGCTATGCTGGTGGCTGCACGGGACAGGGAGGAACTCTTGCTTCGGATTACGCGTGCGTGTGTCCTAGTTGAGGATTGGATAAGTGAGCATGATCTTTCTCTCGCAGAGGATAAGACGGAGGCTGTAGTACTCAGAGGCTACAGAAAGAGAGATAGGGTTGAATTTGAGTGCGCGGGAGCGAGAGTGACGCCCAAAAGTACGTTAAGTATTTGGGAGATACTCACCACCAGGGTCGGAGTTGGGGGGAACATTTGAGGGGGGTGACCCGCAGAGCTGTTCAGAGAATGGCTGCGCTGGGGAGGATAATGCCTAATATCGGTGGTCCCAAATCCGAAAGGAGAAGGGTGCTCTACGGTGTTGTGCAGTCTGTCGTCCTCTATGCGGCCCCAGTCTGGAGTGACGCGGTAGAAATACCAACTTACAAGAGGCACATGGTACACGTGGACAGAACTAGTCTGCTGCGGGTAGCATGTGCCTACAGGACTGTGTCAGCTGCCGCTCTGTGGGTTATCACCGGCTGTGTTCCTTTACATGTGCTGGCAGGTGAAAGGGCAAGGATTCACGCGCGGAACATTGGAGAGCGAGAAATGAATGAGATAAGACTGGCCGAGAGATTAGTTTTAATCGGAAAGTGGCAACAAGAGTGGGATTACTATCTAAAGCAAATGCTCACAGGCCATGGCTGCTTTCGCAGCTACCTTTTCAGGTTTAAGAGGGCTCAGTCCGATCAGTGCCTCTACTGTGGTTTCTCGGATAGTGTAATACATACGATGTTGGAGTGTGAGCGTTGGGCGGATGAAAAAAAGAAGATTGTAAGAGAGTGTAACTGCAGAATGTTTGATTCCGTGAGAGAAATGGTGGAGAAATTGATGAGGGATGAGTGGTGGTGGACACGGATCCACAAATTTGTCAGAGAACTGCTCTATTCAAAAGAACGAGAGGAGAGGGAACTCGCAACAGAATTCTAAGGCAAGCGAGTAGCACCTTGGTAGGGTTCGGACTCTCGCAGGCCAAAATAAGAGTAAGTGAGAGACAAACGACGCAAGAGAGATGACAGCCTCGCTAAGGCAGGGGGTTGAAAGTCCTTGGTGGTTTGTGTGGGTGTGGTTTCCTGGAGGAACGTGTCGGAGAAAGAATGGAAATCGGGTGATAGCAGGGCATCAGGAGAGATGTATGCCTTTACTGGCCCTTCCATCCTGATGTCTGGTGTGACAGAGGAGAGGATTTTAGTTTAAAAGGTCTAAATTCCTTGGGCATCTCGCCCCTGTACAGCTTCGCTAGGGTATTAGGAACCCAACACTACCTGTGTGAGTCACAGGTGTCTGTATGCAGATTTTCTTTTTTCTCTTTAAAGATGTAAAAAAAAGTAGTGGTAACTGTATGCCCCGACTTAGGCAAACAGTTACCACCTTATTAATTGCTAATTGCTACTATTTATGAAGTACTTATATTTATTGATCATCGAAGCTAGCTTGGACACAGAATAATAAACAATCAGTTTATTATTCTGTTTATTATTACGCGTATCTCGTTCGTGCAGACGTTCCGCCATGTTTTAGAGGGAACCAGTGCTGTTTAGTGACATTTTATCTGGTACGCATAGACAAATTAACCAGGTTTAATTTATTTACGGCAACTATAGACATAATATGCACTATTTTATTGATACTTTTAGTTGAAGAATCGATTAAACTATTTCAAATGTACTAAATTATTAATCTCTAAAAATTTAAATTACAGTTCTGTCATAGCTTGTCACAAATCTCTCAATTCGAATCTATGTCTCCTTCTAAAACATGGCGATCGCGTGCTGAAAAACTTCAAAGGCGGCATCTGAGAGTGGGTATTCTGATTGTTTATTATTCTGTGGCTTGGAAGAAAATGAACAATCTATGTCAGGGATATACACTCAATAAACAGTTTGTATTTCCTGATTAAGTCCCGATGCATCAGTGTAAACAAAAATATATTATCTAGACAACTTCTCAGTTACTATTTTAAATATTATATTTTGATTGATACCTGTTTATTAACGTTTAATTGAACTATGGGGATCCTTAGACAAGAATCTGTCTATCCTTGACTAAGTGGGGATCTGACTATAATATGAGGTATGGAGGTGTCATAATTTTTTATGAAGTCAGCTATCACATGTTATGTGAATTATTTTTTATACGGT